ATTTACTGTGTATTCTCATGTATAAATATACCCTCAAAATTTTAAGTAGATGGATTCACTAGTTTTCTTTTTTTTTTAATTCCTATAAATGGCATTTTTTTAGGTTGTCACACTAGGTGTGTCCCTTAAGACGAAGACCATGCGCACATAAGTCCTCTATTTTCTTCGAATTATTCTTCACGGATGCAACTAAGTTATATCTCACGTGTCAAATTCTATTTTATTGAGAACTGAGGATTTAAAAACATTTAATATTTAAGGCTAGTATTGTGTAAAACATTACAGCACAAACGTCCACAAAACAAAGGTTCAAATTTTATTAACATCGCTAGAGTTGAATTGGATTAATTTCTTTTATTGACTATTACTCATAAACGTCACCACAGCAACTACATACGAAAAACCATTTTCCGACATCTCAAACTGACCAAACAATTAACACACAATAAACAACGTTATTTTCACATATTTTTCTATATAATATATGTATATCACATTTTTATTTTACAATCGGGAAATCTACGTGACTTTGTGAAATATATATATATATTATTTGAAGTAATTATCTTGCATTAGCAATAATATTATCAAATATTATCATAAACAAACCTTATTTGTAAAAGCAGATGAAAAATTTGGGCCTGAATTATCGTCTTCACTATAAATTGCTGATCATGATCAAAATCATCCTTATCATGATTTGAGTAACTCGTCGGTTCTTTTTCTTGCATCAGCCACACGCCATTCGTTGTCTTTGCCCTTTTATTTAATTGGAAATAAAATAAATAATAATTTTGCTAAATCAATAAATTAAAAAAAAAACATAAAGTAAAAATAATAATAACGGGATATAATTTTATAAAAATTAGTACCGTCTCAGTCCTAATATGATATCATCTTTCTTATACGCACCTTGTGTTTATTTACAAGAAGGTAAATTAAAATTTAACTAAATTTGTAAGTAACAAGCAAAATAATTTTACTCTGGACGGCTTCGGACGTTTCGCAAGTTTTGAAAATACATTTTAAAAGCAAATTTGAATAGGATGTCGCCTTCTATAGATAAATTGGCAATGTTCTTATTGATATCTTCGATTAGCAATTAATTTTTCATATGAAGCATATGATTTTTTGACAATTTTACTAATGTAAGCAATAATTTGAAATGATCTCGATTTTCTTAAAATCAGGTACAATTAGAAAAGAAAACGAGAAAAATTATTTCATTTTGGGTGCTTATTTAGCAACATCATTTTGAAAATTTGTTTGGCAAAATAGTAAAATGAATAATAAAATATAATTTCAAATTAGTACAAATTGTGCGTTTACGACTATTCCACGTCGAACTTCAATTTTTTCGTCCACCGACATACAATTTGTAGATATGTTTGAAAGATATTTGTTGACATCATATCCAAAATAATGATTATAATTTCGAACAATGATCAAATATAGCACATATGGCGTAAATTAAGTTAAATAACTGTATAAACTGTTTCTTGTTTATTAATGGAATTTATAGTTGAATGTAAGAATAAAATTTCTAATATGAATTTATCATCCGAAACGTCCGATTTCCCTAAAAAACTAATAACGATTATATATATTATGCCAAATTAAGATCACAATGAAATGAATAAAATCCTCGTTAATCGACATTTTGGAGTTTTCAAGTTTTTACTTGAGCAGATCATGTGCTCGCTGATTAGCAACTGCTATCCTCGTCTCGTTTGATTCTCCCTAATTATCGATAGCATTGGGATTGAATAAAATATTCATTAGTAATAATCACAAAAATAACAAATTATCATGAAAGTGGAAAGTAATCTCTCTCAGCAGTTTTGTACAAAAATATCAAGTTTCTTTGCAGCAGCTTTTCATTGATGCCCTTCTATAAATGATACTCTAATCAGAGAAAGGCTCAGTACATTCTAGAAAGCTTATTATTATAAATATCATGTTATTATGGCAACTAAGTAAGTGCGGATTTTCATTAAAAAATCAGGCATTTTTTGATGGAACTAAATAACTTTATTATGCGATGCGTTGTCCATTTTGATCAATGACTTTTTGTCATCTTTCAAGCATCATTATCCTACTTTCATAGAACTTCTAGTTTTTAACAGCAATTTGACACCATTATTATCATTAAACAACAGCGGTACCCCGCCATACGAGCGACTCGTCATACGAGATTTTCGAGATACGAGACGCCAAAGGAGTATCACAAAGCAACAAATCGCTCCTATTTCCTATTCGAGAAGGTGCGAATGAAACAGGTCAATATTTCATCAATGGTAACAAAGATTCTCGTATATGAAGTCGCATTTAACCATCATATGAATATTTAAAATAAATCATTTTAAAGTTAAAAAATTCAATTCATAATATTAATCTTGTGCATTTGTTCGTACAATGTCGGACAAAGTTGAATTGTTTGTGGATAAATATCTCCCCGAAAAAAAAGCAAATGGTAGAGAGTATCAGAAATTCAGAATTGATTGACAAAACATGTCTAATTTATTTTTGCAAGATAATCAGCGGGAGAAAAAAAAACATGCTTCGAGATACGAGAAATTCGACACACGAGGCTGGTTTCGGAACGAATTAAGCTCCTAAGCTAAGGTGTGGTACCACTGTATTTACAATTCAAGAAGTTTTGTAAAGATCGAAACAGTACTGTATGGTGGATATGGCAAAACATTACAACCAAGCTCCAATAACTTTTGACGAGTGGCCAAATTTATGTGATGTCAATAATGGAATAAATCACCGTATAGATTTGTCAATTTAGGCCGTTTTCTTCGACCGCGTTGTAATTTCTGTTAGTTATTCTATGTAAAAAATGATCGTTCGATTGGATGGTAAGAGTAGTAATAGACAATTTCTTTATAATCAACTCCAGAACGAAAATTGGCAAACCAAATTTGACACTGCCGTTTTTTTAAATGCTTTGTCACCATAAGCTGCTCATAAATTTTTGTGGGCGTAAAATGCCTTTTTGACTTTGCAGAATAAAAAAACAAAATTGACAAAAAAATCAATTTGTTTTTCCATCTTCAACGAACGCCGAATAAAAACTACGCAATAGATCAAAAAATTGTTTTTTGCTGATGAACATCTAAATTACCTACTATCTATTAACAAAGGGTATTTTACATTTTGGACGCCAGAAAACCTGAAAATTCAATTGAAACCATCTGAGCTGAAACCGCATTTACTTAGTTGCCAACCTAATAGCTCGTGAGATCACATTCAATGCTAACGGCCATTTCAGATGTTAGTTAGTTATCCACATATAGCATTCATTGTATTCAAATTCAGTAAAAACGAGATTACTCTCCATATATATTACTTCAAAAGTTACTGTATATATTGTTTTATTAAAATATATTTTATATTGCTACGAATTTTAAGAACCGTGCACAATTTTTTTTTGGTATGTTAACGTTACCTTGCGGTTGACGCGGTCAATCTGCCTATTCTGGTTCTCCAATTCTGATCCCATGTCAATGGCCATGTTCCGCAAGTTTCCAATCATCGTGTTGACTTGACCCATATTGTCTTCCATTTCATCCTCTCGAGCATCATTCGTTATTCTTCCTGTAATTCATAAAAAATAAAATAACTATACGATTTAAACATATTAAATATGTGATTTCCTTTGATGAAATAAATTGGCATAGTTGCACCACGACTTTCTCAAGCAAGACTTGTTCATTCGATTAACTATGCAAATATTTGTTTACATAACAATATTAAACAAATAAAATGTAATTAAATTCAAAATCGGATTGCGATTGTTCTGCATGAATTTTTGTGAGATTAAGGCGATACCAACATTAAAACGAAATCTTCAATGCAAACCACGAAAAACTTATTAAATAAATTTACTCTTCTAGATAAATCCAAATATGTATTTAAATATATAATTTATGTTGAAAATGGTGCAAGAATATGTGTGACGGGAAGAGATTTTGTACAAACGGTATAAAAAGAAGAGAAAGATGGTATCTGTTAATACTATTAATAGATAGATTTCCACGTTAAACGGAATTATTTTCACTAGTCACAAATGCTTAATCGAACCAATAATAGGCTGATTAGTAACAGCTGTATAACAGGCCTGATAAGTGATTAAATTTATACATGTATCATACGAGTATACAAATATACATGATGTTTTTATATTAGATCTTTTGATTCGAACAAATAAAACCACAATAAATGGATAAATAATAAATAAATTAATATTAATTAATGTTTACTACGAGGTATAAATCAGAAGATTTTCAAAACAGCAGACTCACCAATATAACCAGCTTGTGGTCCCAAACCATTGCGGTCGTCCATAACTCTTTGAGGTTGATTATTAACAACTTTGCCATCATCATTTCCCTTCCAAGTGCCTTCATCTTCTTTAAACGATGCCCCTCTAAAATGGATATAAATATTAACAAACGTATTTACAATTCCAACCTTCAGAAGAAACATGAATATAAAATGGACGTGTGAGCAAAATGTTGCCAAAGTATAATCTAAATATTGGGCGTTTTGTATAATGGTACGAAGTGTATTTTAAAAGAGGGGTTTACATTTGTTATTTCTAAGGCAATGGTCAGGCGTTAAACTTTCTGTCTGTGAAAAACAAATCAAGTATGCTATGTATTTTAGGCTGCAAATCTGTGAATCGATATTCAAATGTATGTTGCGCTTATAACTTGGAATAGTCACATTATTTTTTGTAAGAATCTTGTATAATTATAATGAACCAAGAGCAGAACTTTTTAGATAACGGTATTTCAGTATGGCTAAAAAAAATTGTTCTGCTGATTGATGATTCTTAGCATTCAAAGTCCGAAAGCCACCGCCTGGCAGGTTTCAGTCCTGCACGCCATCATCAACCAGGATTTCGAAAATGCAAAAAAAGGAAATTGAACTTGTCCTGTAAGCTTCAAATTTTTATACAAATTTATTTATCCATTGAGAAGTTCAAATATCAAATTGCCTGGCAATTCAACCTGCACAAGACTGCCATGTGGCGAGTCAAAAGGTTCACTTTTATGAGCAAGGTGTATTGTTCTATAAGGTTAAAATTTAAATATCTGTTTGTCAAAGCGATTTTAAAAAAGTGTTTGCAATGACAGGCGATTCTGTCCATCCTAAGCCCTTACTAGGCCAAGGGAAGGATGCTATGGAAGGAGTGCTAGAAATCTTATAGACGTATCGTGAAAACATATAAATTATATTAAGCAAAATTAAAAAAAAAAAAATTATGGTCAACATTGATTCAATTAATAATTACAATAAAATATACACTTGACTTTTTAAATTAATATTTATCATCAGATATGTTGCCGCTCTCTATTTTTTCATCACAATTTACATGCTGCAGTACCTTTTAACGGGCACCGCACAAACCTTTTCAAAATCGCTTATACAAAAACATATATAATTTTTAACATTATATAGTATACGAGGCAGCAAAGTTTTCAAAATAAGAACTTTAGGTAGGCTGATTTTTCGGTATGTGATCCTTGGTGATCTTTTGGTTAGAGTATTGGCCATCTGGCAGCTCAAAGTGCTTGCGATTTCAAAATTTTGAAAGCATTTTAGTCAGTCCAACTTTCATTTTTTTGACTTTTAATAGGTTCATCAGACTTACATTTTTTGTTGCCAGACATTTTTGGCGATGCTAAACATGTGCCAGACGCCAATTTATTTATTAATTTTTTTAAAAATTTAAATCATTTTAGTCTGTCTGTATTTTTTTTAATATTATTATATCGAACGTGTATTATAAGTGAAAAATAAGAATCGATTGATTTGTGTTAGATAGATGAGTTTAAGCAGTCTTTTGAAATGTCAAACTGTAGTGACATATTTTAATTACTTTCCTCCTGAAGCAATACCTGCCAAAGTTATTGTCGTAGTGTGGGAGCAATACCTGATTGTTTTGAAGGAATTAAACGAAATAATTATGTGCAGGGCTAAAAATGTCTGCCAATAAAAAACGTGAGTCTGGTGAACCTATTCAAAGTCAAAAAAAAAAGCGAAAATTGGATTGAGTAAAATGCTAAAAACTCATGTTACCAGACTTTTGTCAGTGCCAGACATGCTTAAAAACCACAGAAATGTCTGGAAAATTAATTTTATGTTTTTTCACCCTTGATGAACATAATATTCAAATTACAGACAGGCTATAATGATTTGAATTTAAAAAAAAAGTAAATTGACGTCTAGCACATATTTAGCAGCACCAAAAATGTTTGGCAACAAAAAAAGTAAGTCTAATAGTGAACCTATTCAAAGTCAAAAAAATGAAAATTGGACTGACTAAAATGCTTTCAAAATTTTGAAATCGCGCTATACAAGTTGGCTGCGCACTAATAAACGCAACCACTTCCAGCTGGATGGACCATACTCCAACCAATAGAGCACCAAGAACCACATACCCAAAAATCCGCCTTTCTGAAGTTCTTTCTCGAAAACGTACTATAAAGCTTATTTTAATGCATATGCATTTTGCTCATAAAAGTAAACCTTTCGGCTCCCCTGGCACGTACTTGTGCCTTTTACTCAATAAATAAATAAATCGTATAAAAATTTGAAGCTTACAAGAACAAGTTTAATTTTCGTTTTTGTTTTGCATTTTCAAACTCCTAGTTGATAATGATGTGCAGGACTGAAACTCGCCAGGCGATGGTTTTCGTACTTCGCATGCTAAGAACCACCAGTACAAATTTTGTAGCCTTACAACAGAAACACTGTTAATCAAAAGTATCAATAGCTCTCCGCCTATAAGCAGTTTCTTTAAAATAATATAAAGTGCCAAAGAGTCATTGTTAGTTTAGCGATCAGATAAAAATGTTTTAAAAATAAAATTACTTATTGCAAGGTAAAACGCATATTCCGCAGCATTTCTCCATTCCAGTCAAATTCTTTTCCGCTTCACGCATATCGGCGTTTATCTGGTCCATTCCCTCCTCGATGCGATCCAATTGTTCTAGAAATGGTATTTACTCATTTTCCAAAAGTCTTAATATTTTTGATCGTCAATTATAATAAACATTTGTAATAGAACTAGTAATAGCTGTTAACAATTTTCAAATAATCATGAACGAGTAAGACATAAAAAAGCTCTGCAATAGTACCAAAATCATTTGAAGTAGTACATACTTATGCTCTTGGAGTGTCATTTGAACAGATTTTTTATTACATTTCTAATATTTGAATTTAACTTATTGTTAGTCGTCCAAAATTGTCAACAGCTTTTCTGTGTATGATTTAGTTAGAATACAAATCCACAAAAATCATCAGTTTGCTTCTAATCATACTTCGTGTAAGAAAGATTAAATAGAAGATTCTTTAAATGAATTAAAACTTATATTTTTCATATTGTTAAATTAAATATATAAATAAAAGCATCACGTTAATGGAAAATATTTTAATGACATTAGTTTATGTTAAAGAAAAATGTTAATAGCTTATTAGTGCTTCTGCAAACAAATTGTGATGACACTAAAATTCATTTTATAGCTGTACCAATAAATGTGCAATAATTTTTTGTGGATTTGTTTTCTGGTAGATATCAAATCTCAAAGAAAGGATTATATTAAAAAACTAAGTGGTTAAAAGTGCTTGTAAACTTGCGAATAATGATTTCAAATTACTATATGCGAAATCTATACTGTGAATATGTTAGTGACATGCGTGAGCAAGTGAGAACAATAATTCATCTAAAATATTTTTGTCAGTATAAAATAAACAGTGAAAAATATATATAGCATGCTTTCAGCAAACCTTTTTGATGTGATTTTGAATGTAATACTATTTTGAGGCGTGTTTTCTCATTATATACTTGTCATAAACCTTATTAAGTATATGGTTAGGTACAACAGTTTTTTTTGTACTGATCAAGATTCCTAATCTTGAAGGAATATTTTAAATATCCTAAATACGTCTCACGTTTACATTACAATTTAATTTAAAAAGTATATATTTTTCAAATAGAGTGAGTTTTTATATTGTGGCGACTTTTTTTTATAAACTATAAAAAATAAGTAGAACCGACCGCAGTGAATTTAACAGATGTAATGAAAAAAACTTGAGATTTTAGAAGACAAATTCAAATCAATGTTATTGCCTTGATGGATAGTTCAGAAGCCCTAGATTATCTTTATATCGTTTTAATTAAATATATAAAGCTTAAACGCTCAATTTGAATGGCTTTTGTATTCTGTTACGTTTTTTTAACAATGAATATATCTCACTAAATGAATAAAATACTAACTTTTAAGAACTAAATGAATAAAATGTTAACTTGTAAGGTTTCTAGTACTGAGGTGGTTTATGCTCTTTGGGGAACGGTTCTACACAAAATTTCCAACACCTTTTAATGAGAACATTAAATAAATTTCAAAATACATATATAATCGTGGTCAACAAGATTGATCAAAAATCATATACAGAATGAAATGTAATAAAAACAAAATAACATACACCTAAGTCGGTTTTTACACGGAGATTGGTTCCAGAAGAATCCGTGTACAAAAAAAAAAACGTGTAAAAAAAGACATTGATCTTATACAAAAATGGGTGATTTGTTCCTAATATCTTAAACCTATTAAAATTGGTGAAAAACAAGAATTTTTAAGAACAAGAATTAAATTAGTGCTATTCACATTTGCTTTGACCAGTAAAAATTGTTCGTACGCGCTAAAGGGGAATTTACTTAAATCTTTAAGCTAGTGTTCGCAAACTATCGATACTATCGATGGTTTCAGACTTTTTTCTTTCATAAATACTTTTTTGTGAATGAACATACTTCGCAAAAATTTAATTTGACAAAAAAAATTTAGGTACATAAAATTTCAAGTCGTGCTAAATGGAATAAATTCGTGTAAAAAATTTAAAAATATTCAATTTTCAAACCGTGTTATATCAAAACCGTGTACAAAAAGACCGTGTAAAAACAGACTTAGGTGTATTTATAATGAAGTATTTAGATTGGACATATTTAAAAAAACGCATGATAAACAAATATTTCTTTGAAAAAAAAAAGATTTAAAAATGACATACTAGCAATATTTTATATTATTGAAATCATATATATTTTATAGTTATATTAATCAAGTATATTGTGCATTTTATATATTAATTCATAAATATGGAATAAATGTTTTCGACATCCCTTTAAAACCATGTCTTTCTTAGTACATCTTCTACAAACAATCCATTTTTAATATATTCATATTAAAAAAAAACATCAGTCAAATACTGAATAAAAAATAATAAAATGATCAAGGGCTTCAGAACAACTCTTGGAATGCAATACGAGTTCCAATATTTTAAGTATCGTCATAAAAACTTTTTTTACTACATTGAATTAACAACGGTTGGTTCTTTTAGTTTGGCATCGTTTCATGTGTTCCGGCATAATATTTATTTTAGTAATAAAATTGTCTTGTATTTGTAGATATATTGTTTTCTGATCTTTTTTTTTGGCTTACCGCCTTGTTCATCCAGCATCACCAAAGTCTTCATTCCAACCTCGTGACTCTGAAAATGAAACAGAAACGCAGGCCATCCGCTTGAATCGATTCAACTTCTGATTTGATTCTACATTGTTTTTACTTTTACAATTCATGGTTATAATAATTAATCATAACTTGGAAAGACTAGCACCCGCTTGTAATAGATTATTAAATCAAATTATTCGTAAATTGAATACAGTAATTATAAATTTCAAACAAAATAACAAACAACGGGTACCAATCTCTAGTACTACAACCCTATATATAATTTCAACTATTCATTTTTTTTTCAAATGCATTTTAAGTAATCGCTATTGATATTTTTTTTTATAATTGATTTAATTATACCTAGAAATGTTCACAAACGCAGTAATTCTAACTAAAACTCAATAAACTTTAAATAACATTTTTATAACGCCTGAGCTTTATGAGCCAATTCTCTTGTAAAATAGACTATGACGTACCGTTGTTATGGCAACGTTATGTTACGCTTCTTCCTTCATAAAAATTAATGCATTTTCTTCATAGAAAGCTAATTTGATCGCGATCAGGCGTTTTAGATATAAAATCCAACTTAGAAAACGTATTAACGTCAAAAAAAGAATGTTATCATAACAACATCTTTATGATGTGTCATAATAACACATGCATGAAATTAGATTTTATGTCTAAAACGACTAGTGGCAGAGTAAAAACATAGCATTTTGATAATTTATACTGCGAATTTTTATGAAGAAACAACATAGACATTATATTACATGGACTGCTAATCCTCTATGTTTTCCGTTGTATATATATATATATATATATATATATATATATATATATATGATTTAGTAGTTAATTTTGATGTTGAAATATATGAGTGAGTTCTTGAGGGCGATACATCAAACAAAGAAAATTCTATATAATATATATATATCTATATAATATATATATATATATATATATATATATATATATATCTATATATATATATATATCTATATATATTATATATATATATATATATATATATACAACGCACTATAGTGCTCAAACGTAGTTGGGTATGTGATGTCACATGTCTTGTGAGCGATTCTTGCCGACGACATTCGCGGACTCTACCGATTGATCAAATGTCATATGTCACGTGTTACGGCCTTATAATATACATATAAACCAATTTTGACAGGATGATTCGATTTTATGTACATTTATTTCACAGGGAAAGTATTATCAATATCATTTCTTACAAAATTATCAGCGATTACAATTGCCATTATATTATTGAAATAAAACTATCACAGATAATATTTGGATTAAATTAACTATTATGATATATATGATAAATATTGGGCGAACATAGTCATAGATGAGTCACATACTCATCTATGTTTGATCACTTATTTTGCGCTCAACTAGCAGTCCATGTAATATAAGGTCTATGAGAAGCAAGCGTAACATAGCGTTGCCATAACAACGCTATGTCACGGTCTAGTTTGCCGGAGAATTGGCCCATAAAGCTCAGGTGTTATAAAAATAGGGGCCAACCCTTAATCTCTTTATGTTCAGTGTATTATATTTACTACTAATATATTTTTATATTTCAAAATTAGCAGAATTTAAATCTATATTAATTTTCTATATACCGCAAGTGATCAATTGGTTAGTTACAAATAGAGTTTTGTTATTAGTTCTACGAAAACAAAAAAATAAACAAAATTAAATTATTAAAGAGTATTAGAAGTTAAATCTGTAGCAACGTAAAACTTTCAAAGTTTGACTATATGCCTATTATTTAATTATGTATATTTTGATTTTATTATTAAAGCCTGTCAATTCCTTTTCCAAACTAGAACAAGTAAAATCAATGCTGAAACTAAAAAGCTGTTATTCTACCACCCCCTGATTAGTTATTAGTAAAACTCAAAACCAAGCTTTTTTATCGATATATAAAGCTTGAACTTTGAAATTTGCTCTTACCCCCTTGATGGTCCAACATGGCCAATGTTTTTTGACCGGCATCTTCGCTCTGCGATTAAAAATTATGTATATAATTATGTATATAACTTACTCCCATTTGAAAATGGCCGTCCTTACAACCTAAATTTCTTATAACCTAGTTAACCTAATTTACCAATATTTTAAATTTTGGTCTTTTTCATCCAATGAGGATGTTTTCCTACACTCTATAAATAATATTTAATACTCTATTATCCGACATTATGCTTATATATTATAGAACAGAAAGAATAGAAATAGAGCAATACAGTAGCACTACAGAACGAAAGAAAGAAAAAAGACAGAAGCTATAAGCAAACAGCATGCTTTTGCTCGTTCAGAAAAACCGTGCACTAGAAGAATAAAAAAGTCAAAATAGAAAACTTTTGAAAATATTATATGTGGTGAAAATGTGAGAAATGATTATTCGTAGTGAAATCGGAGCTGGTCAAACAAATTCGATCAGAACATCGATTACTACTAAATAACTTGTTCAGCTTAAAACTTTTCTAATTAAAACCAGGTATTATCACAAAATTCTGAACAATTTGTTTCATCAGACACCGAAGTATTGATTTGTAGCTGAATATTTTGTGAATAAACAGTGAGTGACATTTACATAATGCAGAGAGTTTAAATGATGTATTCATATATTTGGAAAATGGGATTGATATGGTGTACCAGATTGCACCGAATTGGGAGGCAAATAATAAAATTTAAAATAAAAAATGACAACGAAATGTTGAATAGTCATAAATAAAATAATTTACTGTATTAAAAAATTAAAGAAATACTGTAGTTTTTACTAGATCGTCAAGTAAAGCATAAAGATGGTCTCACAAATCACAATAAGCGCCTTCATCTCAAAGTACACAGAAAAAATTATTTTGGAAAAAGCTTTCAAGTCGATGTGAGAATTGTGGCAAGAACACGTTAATATAAAATCGATCAGCTATTACAATTTCATCAGTTTGAATATTTATTGAATGAAACATCTGATAAATAAACGATCAGCTATTACAAATACAAATCGATCAGCTATTACAATTTCATCAGTTTGAATATTTATTGAATGAAACATCTGATAAATAAACATCGGAAATATTTGCCAAGAAAAAATAAGGATATCGGTAACTCTAAACAAAAATAAATTTCAAAAATATGGTCACACATTAACTTTATCGATAAGGGAATTATGGCAAGAACGCGCTTGTTATTGTTTGATTGATTGATTTAAAATTCGATCAACTATTTGAATTAGTTTCAATATCATTAAATGATTATAACAAGGCATTTGTCAACAAAATAAGTACGATTATCAATAATATTAAACAAAAATAAATTTCAATAAAATTTGTTTTCGCCATCAATAAATACATAATCAAAATTCTTATTAATAATAATGGATGATTGAGGATAAGGCTAATAAATGTTGGTTCGTAATGGAGAGTTGACGGAATGAGGAATTTTCCAGCCAGGACTCACCTCCCTGGTCGTCCAGTGCGACCAGAGTTCGGATCCCAGCCTCCTTGCTCTACTCGTGAGAGACGCAGCACAAAGAACGGAAACAGAATAGTGTTTGTTAGTGTCGAGTGTTGCTGCCAACATCGAAAGGCAATCTGCTATATTATTGGACCAATAAACATTTTGAAATTTTAAAAATCTGATCATAAATGAATTAAATAGGAATTAACGAAATCACCAACAGACCAATTTAAGTCATTGCATCATATCTTCAATACACTCCATGATGACGACCAGAATTAATGAAAGAAATTGTCGACATTTGCAAAAACTTATTGAAATTTTCAATTTATTCCGTTTTCGAATTTCCTCATTTTATTGCCTCATGCATTGCAGTATTTTTAAAAATATTTTTGAAAATTCATTTATTAGGTCTTTTAATATACCCTAAGTAAAATATTTCACATCTTTATTAATATTATCACAAGATTGCATCAGCAGATACTATACCAATTTAATAATTAGTTAATTCAAATTAACAGGCCAATTCTGCGATAATATAGACGATGAAATGCCGTTGTTATGGCAACGCTATCTTCTCGTTCTTTCTTGGTACTAAAAACTGTGGAAATGCTATTTGCTGTGTGATCAGGCAATAAACAAATCTAGAAAGAATATCATCTTTACTAACATAGGTTATATGTGTAAAACGCCTGATCCTACAGCAAATAGATAGTATTTTCACAGTTTTTAGTACTAAGAAAAAAATGATAGAATAGTGTTGCCATAACAACGTTTATGCTATCGCCTATGTTACCACAGAATTGCCCCCAAAATAATCAAACTA